GGTGGCGGCGGCGGCGGCGGCGCGTGCGCGCCCGGCTCGGGCGGTGAGTGCGGAGGGAGCGAGCGAGCGCCGGGCCGGGGGGCGCGGGGAGGGCCGAGGGCGGGGTCTGCTCGCCGCGCGCGGGGGGCGGGGGTGGTCGGGGGCCTGGGCGCGCGCGGAGCTGGGGGGCGACGCAGAGCGACCGCGGGGAGCCGAGAGGTGAGCGGGCCGGGGGCGCGGGATTTGCCGCGCGGGGACACGACCCCCAGCCCTGCCCGGATCCTGCGCCGGGTCCGGAGAATGGGCCCAGCGGCCTTCGGAAAGGGCGCCCCCTGCCGGTAACAGGCGACGAGCCAGGCCGCGCGGGGGGTCGGGGCCGGGGGGCGCCGCAGCCCCTCACCCGCGTCCGGGCCCTGAGCGTCCCCGAGGGCCTGGCTTAGGGCCTCGCAGGCCCCAGACCCCGTGTCTCTCTCCATCCTCACCCCCACCCCCCACGGATCCGGCGTGCAGGGGGAGGGGAGGCTTGGGGCCGGCGGCGGAGAGGACGCTTCCCCAATGTCCTGTCACCCCGCCTTTCCGCCCTCCCAGGGTCCTAACGTCCAGAGCACCCCTCCCGGTGGAAGGGGGGGAGCCCCCGGCCGCCGCTTTGCGGCGAGTCAGGCCCCTCCTTCTGCGGACCCAGCCCTCCGGGACGGGCGCTGCGGGGATGCAGCGCGGGCAGGTGGGAGGGGAGGTGGTGGGCTGGGCTCCTGCTGACCCCTCGGGGAGGGTGGGACATTACCGCTTGTCGACCTGAGGCGCGGCGGCCACCCCCGCCCCCGCTGGGCTGCAAAGGGAAATGAGACTCTCTGCCAGCCCAGCACAGGCTGGGCAGCGCCATGGGCCTCCGCTGGCCCTGGAGAAAGCCTGACTTCAGATCCTGAGTCTCTCCTCTCTTAAAGCATTATCCCGTGTGAAGCCTCTGCCAATGAGTAGGGGAGGTGCTGAGGTGGATGTCTGGGGGTGGGGGGGACAGTTACATCTGCAAGAGATGAGCCTCCCCCACAGGGCACCAAGTGCAAGCACATGTGCTCCTGCCCAGCCCCCCGGGCCCTGGGGCCACCTCTGCCTTCCCAGGGTCTGCTCCCCAGTGTCACCTGTTCCCATCCCTTCAATTCTTGCCTAGATCCCCAGGAGTGCCCCCTAATAGTGTGCACCCCCCCGGGTCCACTCCCAGAGGTCCTCTTCCCAAGCTGGCTCACAGGACATGACCCTTCCCCCAAACTAAGTCCCAACACCTTGGCTTCCCTTCTTGGGCTACCACAGTGAACAGGGGGTGCAGGAAGGACTCTCCTCCAGCTGCCTTCCACCTCACCTGGGGCCGTGGGCCAGAGCAAGGACCCCACTCCCAGCTGACTGCGCAGACCCATCATGGTATCACTCCCCTTGGGGTTGGGCTTGGCAGGCCTGAGGGCTCAGCAACTGCTCGCAGGGGTCACTCTTGATGCGACCAGCTGTCAGCTGGAGGAGGGGCCTCTGAGACCGTAGTGGTGTCTTTGAGGAAACCGAGTCCCAGAGAAGGGGGCGACCCTACCCTGATTCTACCTCCTGAGACATGGAAGTCCAGCTGTCTTCCATGTCCTTCCTGCTGGATGCCCTGCAGGGCCAGGGCCTGCCCACCTGGGCGGAACCCCGCCCCCTGGGGGCCTCGGGTGCGGTGCCTGGAGCGCCCCGTCTCCCCAGATGCTTGGCCGCACATGTGGACACCTCCCCCTCCCCCCACCGCACAGGCCCCATCGGCGCGTTGCAGACCATTAATTCTGGGCTGGGTTTTCCCACATTCCCAGGAATGCTCTCCCGGGTCCCTGGCGTCCATCCCCAGACGAGCAGGATGGCATTTGGCTCCACTGGCATGTGGGGAGGGCTGCTCCAGGTCCCTCCCCCCAGCCCAGTCCCGGGAGCCCTGGAGCAGACCAGTCAGACCCCAGGGTAGGAGTGACCCCCTGCCACACAGGCTCTGCCCCACTCTGAGAAGGACCATATGGCCCCTCATGCTGAGCACCTGCACCCCCTCATAGACTCCCATGCCACCCCCGTGGCCGGCTCCCCATTTGGCAGATGAGGACACTGAAGGCCAGAAGGACCAAGCCAGCTGGGCCAGGTTCCAGCTCTGCCCACTACCACCCGGTCGGCAGACTGGGCTGGGGACCACCCTGCCACGACACGAGGGCACTAAATCCAGCCAGGGGAGGGAGAACTGGTCCAGAGGCTCCCCCTGGGCCCCCACCTTCCCAAGTGAACGTTGCTGGAGCTGCGGCTGCCTTCAGGCTCACCCAGACCAAGCTGCTGCATCCTCGCCCTTCTGGGGTGTTCCAGGCTGTTTGTGCGGGGCAGAGGGCTGGCCTCCCTTGCTGGGGCGGTGGGAGGAGGGGGCGGCTGCCACGGCCCTTGGGGGCTCCTGCGGGCACGAGGCTGCAGTGGGGGGCCCTAGCAAAGCGGCTGAGCTGGGCAGGTGTCCCAGAGCCAGGGACCGGGCTCCCCCAGCGGCATGGGCTCAAGGAGGGATCTGCAGAGGGGCTTATGGGGGTGCCTTGTGCTTCAGGCCCCCCTGAGGAGAAGGCCATCCCCCCTGCAGACACGGGCCATGTTCACCTCCAGGGAGCTGCTGCTGGTGTGGTTCCTGGTGCTGGCAGTGGGTGGCACTGAGCACGTCTTCCGGCCTGGGTGAGTCAGAGCGTGGGGGGCTTGGGCCTCTGGGTGCTGCAGCGGTGGGGGTGGGCAGCCAGGAGCCCTCAGGGCAACCCCAGGACTGGGGGTGGGGGGGCATGGCTCTTCCTTGCGGTTCTTGCTGAGGGTCCTTCCTGTGGTGACGCTGGGAAGCCCCTTCCCCAGATTCTTGGCTGCCTTGGCTCCAGGGCTGGAAGGGTCTGGGCTCTGGGCTGGGAGCTGTGGGACTGACTTGCCGGTACCCCCACCTCTGTAGCCGCAGGGTGTGTGCCATCGGGGCTCCCAGGGGCCCCGAGTCAGAGTCTTTCGTGCAGCGAGTGTACCAACCCTTCCTCACCACCTGTGACGGGCACCGAGCCTGCAGCACCTACCGGTGAGCACCCCCTGCCCCCTGCAGCACCCCCACCTGCCACACATCAGCCCTGAGCCCCAGGAGGGCTGTGCACCCCAAGGTGGGAAGCCCGGGCCCACGTCCAAGTGCATGGCAGAGGCTGATGCCTGTTTTGACTCGGGCAGTCTTGGTGCCAGGGTGTCGCTGTAGTAACCTCAGACGTCATCCCGTCCTGCTCTCATCTTTGGGGGGGCTCGCCCATCCTGTCTGCTGCCCTCTGCTTTCGGGGTGCTGGCTACAAGTTCTTATCCATTTGAGATGATCCCTGCCTCGCCCAAACCTGCCTCTGAACTCCGGGGCGGGCACCCCTCTCCCCATGACAGCCCCCGAGGGTCACCGGTGGAGACTGTACTCCCAGGCCACCCTGGCGCCCAGCTGACCGCCAGCAGGAGGGCGCGGGTCTCCTCCGGTGCTCAGCTGTGGAAATGTGGCTGAAAGAGATTTTGTTGTCTGTGGGGTTTTCAAAGACCTTCCTGTGGGATGTCCCCCTGCTGGCCAAGAAGGTGGGGGCGGTGTGGGTGGGGCCCAGCAAGGGGCGGGGCCCTGGTCCCTGCCCCTTTCACTAAGCCCGCAGGCCCGGAAGGGGTGGGTAAAGCCCCATTAGCGAGCACCCCCTTCCCCACCCCAGGGGAGGGGCCGGGCGTCCAGAACTCGGAGGCTGCCCATGGCTTGAGCAGTGCTGGGAGGGAGCACCCTCGGCGTCCAGGGGCCCAGTGCCCAGGGAGGGAAGGTGGGGTGAGGAACTGGGGAGCCCGGCCAATACTGCTGATGACTCCCTGCCCCTCCCCACCCCACAGGACCATCTACAGGACTGCCTACCGCCGCAGCCCTGGGCCGGCCGTCCCCAGGCCTCGCTACGCCTGCTGCCCCGGCTGGAAGAGGACCGGCGGGCTCCCCAGGGCCTGTGGAGCAGGTGAGAGGTGCAGGGCCTTCCCCGGGGCCCCGCAGACCCGGGCAGAGCCCCTGCGGCTTTCGCCTGAGTGGAGTGCCTCCTTGCCGTATGGCACCCCTTCCCTGGCTGCCCGCTGCGGGGCCCTGGGGACCCCCCTCCGTTTGTGACAGGCCTCCCCCTCAACAGCAATATGCCAGCCACCGTGCCAGAACGGAGGGAGCTGTGTCCAGCCAGGCCGCTGTCACTGCCCTGCAGGATGGCAGGGCGACACCTGCCAGACAGGTGAGGCTGCCTCCCGTCCTCCCGGAGGGGAAGGGTCCTCTGGACCCCTCGCTGGGCGTCGGGGGTGGTCCACCAACAGGCGGGTGTTGAGGGGGCTCAGTGTGGGTGCCACTCCCTAGCTGACACCGCTTTTTCTGCAGATGTGGATGAGTGCAGGGCTGGAGGGGGCACCTGTCCCCAGCACTGCGTCAACACCGCGGGTAGTTACTGGTGCCAGTGTTGGGAAGGGCACAGCCCATCTGCAGATGGTGTGCTCTGCCTGCCCAAGACAGGGGCCCCCAGGGTAGCCCCGAACCCCACAACAGGTAAACTTCCCACATGTCCCCCCCCCATCCTTGCTGCTGTGCCTGGGAGGAGGGCCAGGGAGGGCCTGGGGAGGGGGTGGGCATCAGCCTGCACATCTGTGCTGGGCACAGTGGGGGCTGCCGGGGGCCTCCCGCCCTGGGCTGCAGGCCATCTCCCTAACCTGGGCGTAAGTGGTGATCTTCCCCAGGGGAGAGATGGGCGCTGCTTTCTTGGGGGCGTTGTGAGGGGGGTTGCCGAGAGGGGGCTCACCTCAGCCGGGAGAGTGGAAGACGCGCCCCGGGGTCCTCTCTGTGTCCCTGCCCCCACAGCCAGGAGACGCCACACCTCCGCTGACGACGGGACATTATTACTTTTGGTACGCGCTGTGACACTTCAAACTCGTACCGTGAGTAATAATGCGCTGTCGGCAGCCTGGCACCAAGAGCACGACGTGGACCTCGGCTTGGACGGCTCAGCACCGCGGGGACCCTGGCGCTGAGGGGTGGGGCGGGGCGCACCTGCCGGGTCAGGGCATGCTGACGTGGCCAGCCTCGCTGCCTAGAATGGGGGTGGGGCCTGAGCCCCGTGTCCAGGGCTGTGCCCGGCACTTGGCCGAGGCCGAGAGGCCTCTGCGTGGGGAGAAGCCGGCCTGGGGTGTGGGGTGTGGAGCAGGGCCTGCCTGATCAGGGCTGGGATCTCCCCAGGCGTGGACAGCGCAGTCGAGGAGGAAGTGCAGAGACTTCGGTCAAGGGTGGACGTGCTGGAGCAGGTGAGGCCTGCCCCCTCCATCGTCTCCTGTGGTGTAGCTCAGACCCTCAGGGTGGTTGTGGGGTTCTGTGGGCGTGGCCCCGGGCAGGAGGCCTCCTGGGTACTGACAGCCCAGGCCAGGCAGGGCTAGCAGGCCCAGGGGCCTCAGGACAGGAGGGCCAAGCTTGGCCGTGCCCCCCGACAGGCAGCAGAGTGCCTGAGGCCAGGTCCAGCCCACCTCTACCTTTGTCCCTGTGGCCTTTCTGTGGGGCCATTGGCCTGAGGACCCCTTGGAAGCTCTGGTTCCCCCCCCAGTTCCTCTGACCCGGGACCCCAGGCTTTGGGGACCACTGCCGGGCCGGTCACGGGTGTCCATCTGCCCATGCATCCAGCTCTCCTGGCACAGACGCTCCCTCTGGTGGACATCCAGGGCCCTGCAGAGCCCTTACAGGCCCCAGGGTTCCCTAAAAGCCTTGTGGAACAGAGAGGGTCCCTTCTGCCCACAGAAGCTGCAGCTGGTGCTCGCCCCGCTGCATAGCCTGGCCTCGAGGGCCCTGGAGCACGGGCTCCCGGACCCCAGCAGCCTCCTGGCGCACTCCCTCCAGCAGCTGGACCGCATCGACTCTCTGAGTGAGCAGATCTCCCTCCTAGAGGAGCAGCTGGGGTCCTGTGAGTGCCACCCCCCCCCCCACAGAGCTCCCCGGGAGCCTGGGACCTGGGGGGAAGGAAGGTGGTGGGGAGCAGCGGCCTCTGACCTCAGCCCTTTGTCCGTCCGCAGGTTCCTGCGAAAAGGAGCTGTAACAGGCGGCCCGGGCCCCTGGCCCTGGCTCCTGGGAGCCTTGCCCGCTGCGCTAGGTTGGGCCAGAGGGGGACTTCGCGCCAAGGCAGGGTGGGAGGAGGGGTCCCCCTAGGTGTGATCCAGCCCCAGCCCGGCCAGCACCAGTGAGGGGGGCCGTGGCTCAGGGGAGGTACGAGGGTCTTGCTCGTTGGGGGCACCTCTGCTCCGTGTCAGAATAAAATGAAGGTTCAGGCGCTGCTGTGTCCTTGCTGGATTCTGGGGGGCATCCTGAGGCTGATGGGGGGCCACCTGCTGGCTGGCAGGAGGGCAGAGGGGCAGCCGTGGGGCACAGAGGGGGGCTCCAGCCACACTGGGCCCTCCTCCTACACGGGGTCTTGGTCCCCCCTCTCCACAAGGGGCTGGAGCTGGTGGTTTCTGTGACGGCGAGCCTGGCCTCTCGGTGATAAGCTCCAGCCAGCGGCCAGAGAGCAAATCTGACCCCCAGCGTGCCCGCCGCCCGGTTCGGGGGACATCCCCACCCCTGGAAAAACAGTACCGCAGGATGAGTGCGGGCCTGGCCCCGTAGCGGGGCACTGCGGGGGGCAGGGAGTGCCCCTGGAGGCGGCGAGGGCAGCCCTGAGCACTGTACCGCCCTGCGCACCCCGAGTGACCACAACTCACCGGGTGCTTCCAAGGGTTTGTTTATTATAAAACACGGACGGTGTGCAGTGCCTGTTTGGGTGGCTTGCTTCCAAGGCCAGCAGAGCAAGGACCTCTGCTGTGTGCTCTCCCTGAGGCCCCAGGTTGCACAAGACCGGGTGTCCAGCCGCCCCCCCGCCCCCGCAGAGTCCCGTTTCTCCCAGAGGACCGGCCGCCCAGCCGGCCTCCACGCCCCACAGGCCGCGGCAGGAGGGTAGAGCGTCTCAGCCCTGGCCATTCGTCCCGAGGCCGTGCAGCTCAGCCCTGCCTGTCGGCCCAGCTGGTCCTTCGCCTGCTCCCGAGTCTGAGAGGCACAAGTGTGGGCTTCTTGGGAAGGTTCCAGCTGACTCTCCTTTTGGGGGGACATCCGAGGCCAGTGACAGGAGGCAGCCTCCCGCATCCAGGGCCCGAATGAAAGCGGGGGAACCTCGGGAGAAGGGCACAGCGAAACTAAGCAGCCAGGGCAGGGGAAGGGGTCCCTCTGTCCCTTCTCCATCCAGGCCTTGTCCCTGGGTCCTGCCCCACCCCAGGCCTCGGCTACTGGGCTGGCTGGCAACCAGGTCCTGCAGTCGCCCTGTTCTCCTGGGGTGTCTTGGATATGCGGAAGAAGGTGGTCCTCATGGCCTGGTAGCAGGTATCCATCAGCTTGGGGACATCAGCAACAGTGAGACCACTGGTGGGGATGGCATCCAGCACCTCCACCTTGATCGTTCCTGTTGGGGGTGGAGCATCAGCCGCCTGGGGCCCCCACCCGTGCCCGCTGTCCTGGCGCCCAAGCTGCAGCCTGTCCTTGCTCCGGCACCAGCTGAACCCCCTTCCTTCTCCTCGGCCACCTGCCAGCCTTCCCTGGACACCCTGGTCTCAGGTGGTTGGTTTTCAACTGAGAATAGTCAGTACAACCAAACCCATAGCTCCTGAGTCCGAGCTTGGTAGGTTCTGACAACTGTGTATTTCCCTGCGAGCCCCACCCAAGGTACAGAACCTTGCTCCCCCAGAAGGGGCCCGCCTGCCTCCTCCCAGGCACCCACACCCACCATTCTACTTCCATCCTCCACCGTGGTCTAGGGGGGCCACGAGTCTCAGATATGGGGGCGTGGGGGGACACAACTTGGCTCCTCCCCCCCCCGCTGCCCTTCAACCTTTGACCCCACCTTCCTACCTAGGCACCAGGTGCCCACATTCGGGATCTGGAAGGAAGGGTAGTGGCCCCAAGTGTCACGGCTGGTGGGCATGGGGGTACCTGGGAGGCTGCTGCCCAGCTTGGGCCTCTGTGTGTGAACTCAGGCACCTAACCCTCCCCGTGCTGGGATTCCAGATTCCTTCCTTCCTTCACTCACCAGATGATCCCTGGCCTACAGGAACCACCCGGAAAGGGAAACTATCCTACGAGGGGCCTGGGTGTCCCCGTGACAGAACGAGGCACGCCCGCGGGTGTGCACAGGTGGTGGGGTGCTACCTGAGCTGAAGAGCTTTGTCTTGGGGTTGTAGAAGGAGGAGAAGCTGGAGTATATCACAGGGATGACAGGCACCTGTGGATAGAAGCCATGGCGCCTGAGGACACACGGAAGCCCACCCCCAGCCCAGCCTGAGCCCCAAGGATGAGCTGGCGGGGGGAGCCCTGCCTTCCCACTTGCCTGCCTTCTGCCTAAGGAGGTCCCGGGAGTGCCCGCAGCTACAGGCCAGGCAGGGTGACCTGCCTCAGGCCCCTTCCACGCATGACCCCGGGGCCCGGGACACCTTTCATGCCCTGGGTTGGTTAATGATCATCCCCAGGGGCCGTTTCTGACCCTGGTGTCTTCCAGGAAAACGAGCAGGCCCTGCCCCCTCCCCGGCTACAGCTGTCCCCAGCATTCCATAAACTCATCCTACACAGCATCACTCAAGCATCCCCTTCACCAGGAAGCCTTCCCGGGCCGGCACACGTCCCTGTGACTCACATCTGTGCCCCCACTGGGTCCTAGTTTGCCCAGGGAGGGCAGGGCCCTGTAGAGTTTAGCTGGAGGTCACTGAGGTCCTTCTGCCCACCCCTCCCCCATCCTGGGGAGGCAGGGGGCAGCTGTAGCCCGGGAGGGGCCAGGGTCTGCTGGTATTCCTGCAAGACACCAGGGTCAGAAACGGCCCCTGGGGGTGATCGTTAACCCTGGCGGTCAGGGAGCCTCTCCCCGGTACCAGCAGGGGTGCAGGCTTGGAACACAGGGAGGCGACAGGCTGGGAGGCCCCCGGGGAGGAGGGCAGCAGAGAGGACAGGGAATGCTGTCCCATCCCCTGGCTGAGGCTGCACTACGCCAGCCCCGCCAGAGCCTCTGCAGCGCCCTCTCTCCTCTCCCACGAGCCCTTGGTCCCATCCCACCAGCAAAAGGAAAGGACATCAGCCCCAGGTATGTGGAGGGGTGCCCTCCACCTCCCAGCCGGAGGGGCCGCAGGCCCAGGGGGTGAGAGCTCAAAGCCCAGGCTCCTCCACCCCATTCACCGGCTGCTTCCACACCCCCACAGCTGGGAGCCCCCGGAAGGAGGGCTCGCCCGGCCTTGCTCAGGGCCAGACAGCAGGGGGCGCGAGAGGCCACCTGAGCCAGGTGGAGGGCCCAGAGCAGACCCCTGCCCAGGCGCCACCCAGACCCTAACTGGGCAGGACGAAAGGCCCTCCCCCTGACTGCAGATGAAGACTTTTCCCTGCACGAACTCCCCCAACACAGAACCAGGAGTGGGACAGGGCACCCTTTAGCCACCAGGAGACACTGCCCCGGGGGATGGATGGACCCGCAGTTCTACGGGCGTCACCCCCAAGCACCTCCCGGGACAAATGGCACCTTGGAGCTCAAGGACCAGGAAAGTAGAGGGGCCCACCGCAGAGTTCCAGCTCACTCTGTACGGGCCGCCCCCCAGGCCCAGCTCATCTGGCCCCAGCCCATGGTTCTGCAGGACTGAGCAAGCACTCAGCCTTCCCCAGAGAGCCCAGCAAGTAGGCCTGCCGCCGCTGCCTCCCCTGGGGACCCCTGCTGGCCAGCTACCAAGGGGGCTGCCGAAGCTGGGTGCGGGATCCGATCAGCACCAGCCTTGGTGCTCAGAGTGGGCAAAGGGGCCCAAAGAACGGCCCTCCCAGCAGGTCAGAAACCAGGTGTTGGAGGGGTGAGGAGGCCCTGTGCCCACCCAGTGGGAGGTGGTCCCCGAACCCCAGTGGCCCCAACCTGGCCATCACCTTCGGCTTTAAGCCAACCTGGACCCACTTCCCTGCCCCGCTAGGAGGGCAGTGCCCTGGCGCACCTGGGTCTGGATCGCCAGGTAGAAGGCGCCTTTCTTGAAAGGTAGCAGGTCTCCATTGTCGTTCCGTGTGCCCTCAGGGTAGATCCACACTTTGAGCTGTGGGGGGGAAAGGAGGCAGCTGTAGCCGGGCCATCCCTCGGGGCCCTGGGCCGCCCCCTCCTAAGGAGCCTCCCTTGTCAGCTGAGGCCACCACCGCAAATGCGCAGATGCGGAGGCTCGGCTCGCGACATTTCCACGTGCAGGGGGCTGAGGTGCTGTTGGGCACCTCCCGCCGTGGGGGAGCGTTTGCACCGCCAAGCAGGCCCCCAGCCCCACACTCACGTTCTCCCTGACCATGCGCTCGCCCACATCGGCCATCACGGTCATGGCGGTCCTGGAGTGCTGCCGGTTGATGAAGAAGATGCCCCCAAGGTACATGATCAGGCCCACGGGTCCCAAGAAGATCAGCTCCCGCTTGGCAATCTGCACGCAGCGCTCAGGTAGGGCCTCCATCAGGCCTGCAGGTGGCCACGGGCACCAGGCAGGAAGGGGTCGGGCTCAGAGCCAGGCAGTCACCTCCCCAAGGAGGAGAGAGCCAGCCCTGTGCCTGGACCACCAACAGGCCCGGAGCCGGGTCATGCCTTCCCACTGGCTACCCGGCCAAGTCATGTGGCCTCTCGGCCTGTTTCCCGCCTGTAGAGAGCAGTGAAGCCAAGCTCCCAGCCGCCGGGGTGAGGGTGGCAGAGACCCGTACCCAGCGTCGGGCACACACAGCTTTGTCATGTGGCTGGAGGGAGGCACGGGTCCACCTGGCCTGGGCTGGCCCCCCTTTCCCACCAGGTCATCTGGGCCCAGGCTCCAGCTCTCTGAAGCACCCCTCCCCCTCCCCTCAAGAGACCAGGGCAGTGTCCCAGGCCGAGCCTCCGGCCAGGAAGGACCAGCTCTCCCACCAGCCCCTCTGCACCCTGGCTTACCCATCATGTCCAGGATGCTCTGGTGGTTAGAAATGATGACACAGGGGTGGTCCACCTCCAGCTTCTGGAGACCCTTTGTCTCAAAACGAAGGCCGAATATGTACTTAAACTTTGAGACAAACCATTTGATGATCCTGAGAAGAGAGAATGTCAGTGAGCAGGGCCCCCCTGCGCTGCACCCCGTCTTGGGCTCTGGCCTGGAACAGACCCAGCAGACGGAGCCTTGGCTGGCCCTCTTCACGGGCAGCTGGCGGGACCCTGAGTTCACCTTCCCCTCCAGGAGCCGTCAGGTCCTGTCCCTCAAGGGGTCAGCGAGTGCGGCCGGGTCTCCTGCCACCCTGGCAGGAACAGGGAAGATCAAGGACAGAAAGGAGCGAAGCCTCCACGGGTGGACGCCTGGCAAAGGGGAGGCCGTCCTCTTCTGCATCTGCTTTGCGGGGACCTGCCGTGCGGCCCTGCCCTCACCCCACACCCCTGCTTGCTCATCCAGGGGCAGCTGCAAGGGCACTGGAGGCTGAGAGCCCCCCGGAGGGCTGGGCTGGGTCTGGTTCTCGGCTGTGTCAGCAATGAAAAACCCTGCATGGAGGGGCGCCCGGCTGGCTCGGTCGGGGGAGCGTGCAACTCCTGATCTCGGGGTTATGGGTTCGAGCCTCACGTCGGGTGGCGAGACGACTTATGAAATCTTTAAAAAATAATAAAATAAAACCCAACAGAGAGAGAGGGATCCCTGCACCCCTGCAGAGGCGGCGGGCCCCCGCCCACAGGCTCTGGGGAAGGAGACCCTGGGGGGCAGTGCCACACCGGGAAGAAGGCATCCAGAGCAAGTGGAGACCTTTCCGGGGGCTGACGACTGCTCAGGAACAAGCGGGAGCGCCGCCTGTAATGAGAGGAGTGCAGCCAGGCTGGGCTTGCACCCCTCACCCCTGTCCTACTGAGCAATCCCACCGTCCCCCCTTCTCCCGGGCCTACAGAGCGCAAATGACCTGCCCCAGGGGAAGGCAGAGGAGGGGAGCCAGGGTGTGAGGGGCCTGGGCCTCCCCCGCTTTGGGGTCCAAGCCCTTCCAGCCCCGGCGACCTTCGGGGGCTGCCTCCAAGCAGCACAGGTGGGCCTGAGTGGCTATGGGCGTAGGGACGTGTCTACAGGCGCTGCTGGCCTCGGGGGATGCGGCGGGGCCGGGGGCTCTACCTGGGACGGGCTCCGGTAGGGGCCAGCCTGCGGGGGGGGGGGGGGGGGGTGAGGCTCAGAGCTCTCTAACGCCCCGCAGGGCCCCGGTCCGCCCCATCCCCTGTGGGTGGCTGACCCACCAGTGACCCAGAACTGTTCCACTTCTCACAGGTTTGGGCAGCACCCTCAGCCCCCCAGGTATCTGAGCCCCTCGACAGCGTTCATGGCAAGGGAGGGATTTCCCATTTTATACACAAGGGTGAGTAACTGCCCAAGGCCCGGAGACAGCCCTTAAGACAGCAGACTCAGTACTGGCTCAAAGCCAGACTCTGGTTTTTTTTTAAATTGTCATAAAATGCACATGACCCAAGACGTACCCTCCTAACTGCTGTTCAGTGCACAGCTCAGGGGCGTCAGCGCATGCGCACTGAGCAGTCCCCTCCATCCGTCTCCAGAACATGCTCCTCTTCCCAGACTGGACTCTGTTCCGTTACACACGGTCCCCTTTCCCCCAGCCCCTGCCCCCTGCGTCTGTGGATCCGACTCCCCTCGGGCCTCCTGGGAGTGGATCCCTCGGGATCTGTCTTTCTGGGTCTGAAAGCCAGCCTCTCACTCAGCTGCCCCTTTCGCAGAACAGAAACCCCGTGGAAGGGCAGCTCTCCCATCATCCCATGATGCAGATGGGGACACTGAGGCTCAGGGAGGCGTGGCCGCACGATTAGACCGGCCATCCTTCCCTGGACCTGCCAGCCTCGGCCGACTCAGGCCGGACCTGCCCATTTTTCCCTTCCCGCTCTGGGATCTGTGTCCCAGCAGGCCCTGCACACAGGGGGAGCGAGCTGACCAGCTGCTTCACCTCTGCGGGGCCCCGTTTCTCATCTACAAAGACAGCTTCTCAGTCACTGTGAGGCTTGAAGGGACAAGGAGAGAGCACAGCAGGCACTTTATAAAGGGGAGAGACGGAAATGTCCAGTAAACATGGAAAATCTTCACTCTCACTAGAAATCAAAGCAACACACATTGAAACAAGAGCCCTGTTTTCAGCCTTTGAGTTGGCTCGGTCCGAAAGAAAAGACCGGTAACGCGAGGGGTTGGCCCAGATGTCAGGAACAGCCGCCGGGGGACGGCGGGTTGACAGCACCTGGGCAAAGCCGTGCAGAAATCCAGTCCCGGGGCGGATGGGCAGAGCAGCCGGCTGAGCGTCCACTCTTGGTTTTGGCTTAGGTCGTGATCTCAGGGTCATGGGATCGAGCCCCACGTCAGGCTCCAGGTTCCGAGCTCAGTGGGAAGTCCGCTTCCCCTCTCCCTCTGCCGCTCCCCCGGCCTGTGCTCTCTCTCTCTCTCTCTCTCAAATAAATAAATAAACCTTAAAAAGAAGGAAGGAAGGAAGGACAGATGGAAGGAAGAAAGAAAAAGAAAGAAATCTGGTCCCTCTTCCAGGATCTGATCCTAAGGCAGTTATGAGAGGCAGGCCTGCAATCCTCAAGTGTGGTCTGAATTAGAAAAATCTGAAGGGCGCCCGGCTGGCTCCTACGGTAGAGCCTGCGACTCTTGATCACAGGGTTGTGAGTTCGAGCCCCACATGAGGGACAGGGATTACTTAAAAGTAAAGTCTTAAAAATAAGAAAAGAAAAGAAAAATCTGAAACCGAACCGTCTGAAGGTCCCCGGCTAGGGAGAGGTGAAGTAGCAGTCGGATCTGCAGCCTGCTGGGGCGGAGACCTGGACACCCCGTGCTGCACTAGCCAGTCACGAGCGCCCCCCACCCACCGCGGAGGACCCCCGGCCACATCTGGAGGCGGACCGCCTTCTCTCTGCTGGAGGTGTCTACTGGCTTCTCTTTCCCTCTTTCAAAATTGTGGCAAAATATGTGTCACATAAAATTTATCTTTTTAATCATCTTTTAATGATTTGATTTATTTGACAAAGAGAGAGAGAGAGAGAGAGCGCGCGTGAACAGTCCCGGCCAAGCAGGGAGCCCGCCGTGGGACCCGATCCCAGGACCCTGGGATCACAACCTGAGCGGAAGGCAGACGCTTCACCAACTGAGACCCTCGGGCGCCCCGTCATTTTAATCACTTTTAAATGTCCGGTTCAGTGGCATGAAATCCACCCACACTGCTGTGCGACCGACCCCACCATCCGTCTCCAGGACGCTTCTCTCTTTCCTGTTTGGATTTCTTTGTGTATCTGACATAATGGATTGACCACAGACTGGTTTTTCTGGAACTGTGGGAGATACTGTGCACAGACCCCCGGCAGCGGGCAGTGCGAGGGAGGCCGGCCCGGAGGGAGCAGCGTGCTCCGCACAGTCGCACGAGGAATGCGTCCACGCGGACTAGAACACGCACCAGCTGCGGTGGTTACGGCAGGCTGCCAGTGGTCGTCCTCAAGGGGACAAAGCAGTCTCTGCAGGCCACACACACGCAGATGCCCGTCCACCTGTCCTTTTCCCGATGTCACACAGTTTCAAGGTTTTTTGTAAAAGTGGTAAGAAAGTCCATCATTTTCACAGTTTCCTCAATATGGAAGGAAGCAAACCAAGCTTTGCAGCGGCTCCTGCAGACCGTGGGCCGCCAGGGACAGAAAGCCAGGGGTCCTTGCCCAGGAGAGCAGAGTGTACTTCCCACGGGGGTGGGGATGGGGGCAGGTGGGAACACCTCCATCCCCCACGCCTGCGCAGCACCTGCGATGTGCCAAGGGCGGGACAGGAAGCCTCACTTTTTGTCGAGAGAGGGGACACTCCAATGAGGGGGCTTAGGCGAAGCGGTTAAGTGACTTGCCCAAGGTCATGCAGCAGAGAAGCCAAGGTGGGCTGGAACCCACCTCCTTACCTGGTTTTTGGAAAACAAGTGAAAAATGCCAGGGAAGGGGCATACTGGAGGTGGGTGGGGTGGGGTGAAGACCCAGGACTGCAAGGTGGCATTCCAGAACTGCAGAAGCAAACCCCTCCCCTTCCCTGAGGCTCTGCAGACCCTGCCCAGGGCCCCGCAGGACTGGAGGTGGCCGGCCCTGCCCTCAGCCAGCCCACAGCAGCCGCCACCATCCTGAGCACCGGCCCCACTGTGCCCACAGCCCACCTCACCTAAGTGCCCCTCCACCAGCCGCAGGTGAAGTTCAGGGGGGCTGCCCCCTCAGGAGCCAGGGCCCCAAAACTTGGAGCAGGTGTCCCTGGTGCTGGCCCCGGGACATGGGCACACAACTCTGGCTGCTGCCCCACCCCCTCTAGCCCCCAAGCCCCCAGGGAGGCTACTGGAGTGCAGCCTCGGTTACCTGAAGCCCAACCGACCTGCGGGTGCATTGAGTGCCTGGCACAGTATTGCAGAAGCACCCACCAGCGGCCAGGTGGGTGACTGGTACCACCTTTTTCCACCTCAAGCCCCCAGAGCAGGACCGTTCCTCAAGCAGATGAGATGTGCTGGCCCTGCCTGGATCTTTCTCAGGAGCACTCTACTTAACCTCAGTCATGAACTGCTGAGACCGCCTGAGCGCTATAAACACCACGGATCCCTCCAGCGCCCACGGGAGCCCAGGCTCACTCCGGCCAGCCAGCTTCCTTGGATCTTCCGTGTTCAGCCTGAGGACCCCCGGGCCCTTCCCAAGCTCTGGGTGAGCTCACTCGCCATGACCTGGGGCATTGCCCTCGACCTCGCCCCCTCTAAGCTTCCATTCCTACCTGTAAAAGAGGAAGGGTGTGGAGATTTGAGCCTTTGAGGCTGGGACCCTGGGAGCAAACAAAGTGATGATCTCACAAGCAGGTAAGAAGAGTCCAAAGCAGGCGGCACAAGTGCCCCAGGCCACCTACCTCTCCCCCAGCCAGCAGGTGCTCCAGGCGGCTAGACGGAAGTTCAAGGCCAGGCCCTGGCCGCCTGCTGACCTTTGCCCTCAGCCGCTGGACTGGAGCTAGGTTGCTTCCAGATCTGGGCGGCTGTGTCAGCTTAGGCACGCCAGTCCTCAGCCAGACCCCTCGGGGTGTGCCCCAGAGAGCGGGGGTCCTGGGTGGGGCCCACCTGGGGGCAGCCCCCGGTGAAAGCTGGGGGCCGGAAGGGGGAGGGGCCGGCAAGCCCTTAGGCCTGACCCGGGACCTCCAGGGCTCCGGGGAGCTCTGGTCTGGGCCTGCAGCAGCACATCCAGGGGAGGGCGTCTGCCCCTGGCCATCCGACTCCAAGAAAAACAAAGGCAGACTTTCCTGCAAAACCAGGATCCCCTGCCAGCCCCCATGAGCCACGGGGCTCCCTGAAAGCACCCCATCCCCATCTGTGCACACCCCAGGAACACACAGCGGCTGGCAGCACTGGCTAAGAGGCTGAGTTGTCCTGGGTTCAAGCCCTGCACAGCATCGATAAGCCCCCTGGTCTCTGGCCTAAACAATGCCCATTCTTCCCTCTTTGAGGTTCCGCAGGAGCCGCACAAATGGAGTGCCTCACTACCCCACCTCCCTCGAAGCCAAGAGCCGTGCCACCCAGGGCCTGGCCATTCCGATGGATTCATGCAGTCCAGCCCCCAGAAGCCCTGCCACGGTAGAGTATGCATACCGGCCCCTGAGCGTGGTGGAGCCACAGGATGGAGAAGCTGGAACCTTCTGCAGGACCTGGGCCTCCCAGCTCCAGTCTCCTTCAATGCACAAGAAAGTCAAGTCTCGTGGAGAAGCCGCTGTCACTAGGGGTCCCGATCCTGCAGCCGAACCTAATCCTCACACACACAGCTGGGCTTCACCCTTGTCTCTGTCAAATGGCTGTACTAAGGGCATCTGCCTCGTGGGGCGAGGAAACAGGGCCTAATACTCCACTGTAGCCCAGCACGGAGAGCACAACCAGCCCCCGGGGGGATCCTTGGTCTCGGCCCCCAGCGGGTGTGAGGGTCAGCTCTTCTGTTCCCATCAGTTCCCTGCACACTCGGAACTGGAGTCCAGCAGGCAAAGGCCTCCTTGGGCCGCTGCCCAGAGCCCCGTGGGGAGGGGCCCCTGCTGTTCCGGGGGAAGGCAACAAAGCAGGGGAGGGGGCAGAGCAGGGCTGCCCCCCGGCAGAGCTCCCGGCACCGCAAGCCCGGGGCTCCAGTCCTTGTCGGCGCCGCCGCCCCTAGTGCTGGCGGGCACAGAGGGAACGTGCGAAGCACGCACTCTGGAGGCCCTCCCAGTGGGTCTGCACCCCAGCTCCGCCACGTCTTAGCTCTGGGACCCCAGGCAACCGCCTCCTCCCCCCTTCCCTTCCTCTCTCCCCCCCCTCCCCCCCCGCCGGGAAGCCTTGGCTTCAGGCGGCACCTCTGACTCCTCATCAGAGCAATGAGGTACACGATATGCCCGTCCCCACAGTGAGGACGGTGGGCGTAGACGCCGTGGCATCGAGCGGGGTGGGCCACCTTCCAGAAGTCAGGGCGGGGCTGGCGAGAAGAGCAGCCAGGGTGCTCAGGGGTGCGGGAAAGACTGCTGAGTGCGGGTAGAGAGCATGTCCGCTCAGCCCTCCGGCACCTCCACCCATCCTCCTGGGTCCTGTCCTGGAGCAACGCAGCAGCTCCAGGCTCTGCCTCCCTGGGACGCACCCCTTGGGGGACTCCTGCTCACACCATGCCCCACCCGTACCCCCACTTCAGCTATGGCTAGGGGGTCTTCAGAGTCATCACCGTGACCCACCCCTGGGGGGCTGGGGGTACGGGGGAAGGAGGCTGTGGCCTCTCCCTGGGGTGCAGGGAGCACCTGCTGTTACCCATCAGCGTCCTGGGGTGGGCCCTTCACAGAGCCTGAGTCTGGGGGCTGCCCTAGGGAGGGGAGAGCAGCAGGAAGCTCCCACCCAGTACCGTCAGAGCCTCTAGGATCCCGAGGGGTTCAGCCTAGTTGGCCAGAATCTCAGGTGAGACTGGGACTAAGGGCCAACAAACCCCCGGGGGGGGAGGGGGGCGGGCAGGGCCAAGGGAAGGCCAAATGTAGCCAGCCTGCCAGATCCAGCCACCAAATCAGAAAGGGCCTGGTGACTTCTGATTTGACCCCTGGGAAGCACCTTTGAAGTCTGAGTCAGTCCTTTTAAAGGACAAGGAAGTTGCTTGTAAAGAGTCCACCCGATGACACAGTTGGGGGAAGAGGAGAGTCACCTCCTGGTTCTGTCACCTCTGCTAAAAACCTGCTCTGGGGGCCAGCTCTCCCCCTGCCTCCCGCTCCTGACGCCTCAGAACCACACACGCTGTCCCCTGGCCTGGCTCTAGGAGGGCAGCACCACCTCCGAGAAGCCCATTGGCCTGTGGGTCCCGGAACCCACACCCCTCCTCTGGCTGGAGGCCAGCCCCCAGCAAGTGCTGAGCCGAGGCTCCTGCTGCCCACTGGGGACTCCAGGACCCCAGCTCCGGCCCTGCCTTCGGAGACATGCACGGCCTCAGGCATCCCTGCCCTGGAGTGGTGGGGGCCCAGCTTTGAGGAACCCCCTGCAAACAGGTCCTCCCCTCCCCAGGAGCACTCCACGCCGGAAGATAGCCAGTAGGGCCACACCTGGGCTGTCCCTGGGGCCTGCACTCCCTGGGACGTTGGCCTGGGCCATGCTGGTGGTGGGCAGGGGACACCACAGACCCACGGAACACGCTCCACTCTGAGTCCTCACCTACTCTGGGTAGAAAAGCCACAAACCCCTAAAGACAGGGCTTGGAGGGCCCACGCAGTGTGGGCCAGTCCCAGCAGCATCGGCTGGTGTGGATGGGCAAGGACAGAGGGGGCGGGAAGTCAGCAACTCTCACCCACTGCCCTGTAACCACACAGGGGGCAGGGACTTCAGGGACCACAGTATCCTCACGGCAGGCCACAGCCAAGAAGCTGTTGCAAAAGCCACAGAGATAAAGGTTAGCAACAGCCGCCCTGGGATCAGACACAGGGAGACAGGGCAGGAAGAAGACCCCGCCCCTTAGCCTCTGACCCAAAGAGACCCCCCCCCACTCTTCAGCCAGGCCTGACCTCCCTACCCCACACCCACCAGCCCAGCTCTCGGAGGTGTCTACAGAAAAATTCCAGCCACCCCTCCCTTCCTTCCACTCTGAGGCTGGACCTCAGGGGCCAAATCCACCCTTCCCATTCAGGAGCCTCCTACCTTCTTAGCAGGACCCGCAGGGAAGGAAAGGAAGTCAGCCCCAGGGGCGATCACAGGTGCGGGTAGGCGGGAGGGGGCGCAGAGAAGGCAGGGGCCCCTGGGGCTCTAAAGCGCCTCTTCCAGACCAGGGCGGTGCTCCAGCAAAGCCCCCCCTGCGGCAAGCCCCGCAGTCCGACCCGCTCTCTCCCCGCGGGTGGAGCAGGGCTGCGCCTCTCCCAGCCGGCCCAGGGCCGCTGCGCCACTCCCCGGCCGGCGCCCCGAACGCCCTTTGCGTCCCGCGGGGCCCTTGGCGGGGCGGAAGGACGCGGCGGCGCTGGAGACCGAGACCTTTTGAAGTCCCTCGGTGTCTGCGCCCGGGCGGGCCCGGGCACGGAGACATTGTGACGTGGGGTCCCGCGGACCCGTGCCCGCCGCCGGCCGCTCTCTCCCCGCGCGCGCCGCCCGAGAGCCCCGAGAGCCACAGGCGGGGCAGGAAGGAGGGACAGGAGAGAAGAAAGTTAGGAAAGCGGAAGCGGGCGGCGGCCCGCGCTCCGCCCCGCCCCGGCGCTGTCCCCGCGCCCCCCCCCTTCGCGCTCCCCGCGCCCCCCCCCGCGTCCTGCCCCGCCGC